ATTACGAGAATTTTGTAGGACACTGTCATGTTTCTTTTATGAAATAAATAACTAAACTGTGACTTTTTTTTTGAAGAAGTCAAATGGTATTATTAAGCATTGGAAAGTATTAAATAGGATTAAAATATTTACGGTCCTTCGAAATCTTGAATTCGATAAAACGGTAATTTTTTTTATTCACCTATTATTACATTGTTTTTGTTGATTGTTTTTTGTGAGTTGTGACATATTCAATAAATTAATTACTAAAACACTTTTTGTTAGCTTAGCTTAAGTCTATTATTTATGTGGTATGAAAATAGATGGCCAATTAGCAAGATTTATTAATTTAATTTCTCATTTGTAATAAGAAAAATTCTCATGCCACAAAACAGAAGAAATAAATACTGGCACAAGGTAATAGCTAATTATTATTACTATTTTAAAATGCAAAATTAATTGAAATATATTTTATGTTATCATTAACATGATTATTAAGCACTATTACTAAAATTTATTAATTATTCCAATAAAAAATAAATTACATTATTTTTATTAAAATATTTTATCAATGATACCCTCATGAAATATTTTGTTTAACAAATCTTTAATAAATAAAAAGAGAATTTTAGAGGAAGTACTTAGTGAAACTAGTATACTTAGTAATAATGTAGTAAAACTACATTATATCATAGTTCACAGAAAAAAACTATAAAAAGTTTGTAATTATTTCATAGAATATCCTAATATGACACAGTGGAAGATAGAATAACAATTTCAGAAGCTATTTCTTAATGACATTAGCTTTGCAAAGTACAAAAACGGTGGAATTCAGTTCAATGGAACAGCTTCTAAAAATGCATAACCAACGCACAGCAAATTCACAATCTGAAAGTGAAAAAAGTAATAATTATAGTTATTTAGATTTACGTAAAATATCATTACAAATTAACTTATTTTATAAGTTGTTTGATAATTTTATATTTTTTAGAGTTTAGAATAGGAGTATAAAAAAACCCTCGAAGTTTTACTATGAAATTTATTTATTTTTTGAACTTATTTAATAAAATAAGAGGACCTAATCCAAATTAATTAAAAAAACTATGGTGTTTACTTTAGACCCCACATTAGAAATGAAAACATTACAATACAATTGTAGTTGTAAATAAATTACTCTGGTAAACTTTGCTAAGAACGACTGTTCGCTATTTGTATCCAACTCTAAAAATGACACAGAAGGTTCATGATAACTAAAATATGTAATGAATACTTTTGATTGAAATCTATCTGCTAAATATCTAACAAAACTCCATCAATTTTTAAATATAACTTCTGTGAGATTTTGATTACAAAGAGCATGTAATGCTGAAAATTTTCTTTATTTACATTATGCAGGTCCGAATTTTAGTTTTTGAGATATTTTAATCCAAATGTTGAAGTTCAACAAAACTAAACTTGGTTTTCGACACATCTTATTCCCCTTTTCTCTCTCTAACGTGCTATGTTAATTTTGAATAATAGCTCATTACAAAGGGGATGAAATGTTGAACATTTCCCTAGCTAATAGTATGCAGGTCAGATTTTTAGTTTCTGAGATATTTAGATTTAATCCAGATGTAAAAACAATTCAATTAGTAAATAGCCGATTTTACGCAAATGAGTATTAATTATCCAAGTGTGACGGTCTCATTCACTGCACACAAAAATAGTGTAAAGCACGCCTAAAGAAGTTTTCATTTTAATAAGTTCTGAACAAAGAATTAGAATAATTTTAATTAAATCATGTTTTATTATCTTTATAATGATCAGTTATTTTATAAATATTTCATAATTTGCAACGAAACAATAAAAGCATGCTTTGAGTTTTGTCTCAATATATAGGATAAACAGACAACTGTGAGGTGGTACCGCTAAATATCGCCGTTATGTTTATCATTTTCCTTATATTCCTGTCACTATAATAAAAGTATTGCTCTGTGGGTGGTCTCTCTAGATTAAGGATCGTCATGATTTTTTAGTGCTACTTCAAGATCTTCAAGATGTAACACATTCTGTGTGCAGGAGTCTTAACAGTTTAATGAAACATGAAACTTGCTTGAAGACATCTAAGAATTTTCATGCATAGCAAATTCCTGATTAAAAGCAGGAAAAAAGTTATTACAAAAGAAATTATGTGCTCATAACACAAATTTATATAATTTTCGATCTACTATGATTAAGTGAGAACAATAACAATGAAAAAGGTCCCAAATAGTGGATTTATGATTGACTGCAGTGAATAATTGAAGAGAAGTTGGTTTGGGTGTTAAAAATAAATATCATTAATTATTTATTTTTTTACTGAAAACTCCAACCAACTTCTTTTCGAAAGGTCCCAAATTTTCTTAAGCATTATATTTGCAAAGATAATCAGCATTAAATAAATATGGTAGGAATAGAGATAAGTGACGAGATTGGAGACATGGCCACATGAGCATCTAGCTCATACCATTGATTATTTTATACCATTTAGTTAAGCGTTTCCAGCATCAAATCCCATCCATGAAATATCTTTCCATCTTCTCTCTCACCTTATGTTCTTTCAATAAAAATATTTAGTTTTAAATGCATTTTACCAGCATTTAATTTATACATGCATGTTTATAAAGTAGAGCTGTGAGAGGTATGATGTATACGTCATGTTACAGTGGACTTCCCAGATGCACTATTATTTCAAGTTTTTAGCTAAACATGAACCTTTTTTTATTTAAAAAGTATAATCTCAATCTTCTGTTGTAACTCAAATTGATGCAATATTTATTCCAATGACAATAGCTAATTATACATTTGATCATTTAAAAGATAAATATATGTTGGGTAGTGAATTGATATTCCAGATCTTTAACTATGATCTGGGAACGGCTGAACACTTGGTCTATATTGATAACAACCGAGAATCTTCTCGGTGTGGGGAAGTATTAGAAATGATCAGTTATTAAGCACTATATTTCTGCTCCCCCCCTCCAAAATCAGCTTTGAGATCAAGACCACTTTACTAAAAATCAAATATCTCAATCATTTTTCAGCAGATATACAACTAATTTTTTTTTTTAAACATTCCTCCCAAATAAGGAACACAAAAATCAATTCTCAATAATTTCATAATTATAAAATGAAACAGATTTAGAAGTTGTGAACTTTTTTTATAATATGGTGGAAATGAACTCCTTAAAGTCCTTCAAAAGCTCTTTCAGGAAGTGTATAATAGAAAGAAAATTCTCAAGGATTGGGAATATAGCATAATCCTTCCAATTCATAAAAAAGACAGTTCAATGGACTGCAATAACTATAGACCCATCAATCTGCTCTCTGTGGTCTATAAATTATATACCTCTATATTAGAAAAGAGGCTCCGACGGATTGTGGAGGGACAACTAGAAGATGAACAGGCTGGTTTCCGTCCTGGCCGGCAGACTCAGGACCATATCTTTGTTGTTCTGACTCAGAACCATCGCTGAAAAGGTCTGGGACAGAAACAAAAACCTGTACCTCACATTTCTTGATCTAAGGGCAGCGTTTGACTCAGTTCCTAGGAAAGAAATTTGAAACGCTTTGGTTGCCAAGGGCATGAATGGAGATTTGATTGAGGCCTTGAAATCAACCTACCAGGGGGCCACTGGAGTGGTAAGGATAAATGGAACCGAGTCAGAACCTTTCCCAATTGCGAGAGGAGTCAGACAGGGAGATAGTTTAAGTCCCCTCCTATTTATAAACTTCATGGACGAGATCCATAAAATCTGCAAGTGTCGGATTGCATGGACTACAATTGGAAACTGGAATATGAGAACTGTCCTCGTGCAGAGCTTTTTGTATGCGGATGACATTGTGCTCATCACCGATTCCAAGACAAAACTACAGCAAGCACTGGTAGAATGGGAAGAAGAGTTGCTGAGGAAAGGTATGCAAATAAATGCCTCCAAAAGTAAAGTGATGATTATGACGAGAGAAGAAGAGGAAGACGTCCAATTGGTTTGCAACGGAGAAATTCTTCAGGTGGTAATGGAGTACACATACTTAGGTACCATAATTACTAACGCTGGTAAGATAGATGCTGAGATTTCGTATAGAATATCAAGTATATCACGAATATCAAGTATATCGTAAGGCGAATCAAGTATATCACCAGATCGCTAGCAGTATCCTCAGCTGCCGTGAAGTGGATAAAAATACCAAGATGCACGTCTATAAGTCTGTATATCTTCCTATTCTCACCTACGGCGGAGAAAGTTGGACTATGTTGGACAAACATTATAGTCGCATAACAGCAGCGGAAATGCAATTCCTACGTAGATCAGTGGGAAAAACTAGGAGGGATCGCATTAGAAATGAAACTATCAGAGAACAGCTGGAAGTGCCTGAACTCAAAACTACCTTGGAGAACTGGCAATTAAGGTGGTTTGGACATGTCTGCCGCATGAACGAGGACATGGACCCTATAAAGATATTAGAGGCTCGACCCACAGGGAAGAGACCATGAGAGCGTCCCAGAGTCTCATATCAGGAGTTCATGGAGAGGATCGGAGGTAGAAGAGGCAAATCCTTCAACCAAATGAAGCGGTTAAGCAGAGACCAGGGAGGGTGGCTGCGTTGGATAGAGGCTCCTCGACGCTAGAAATGGCATTGTGAGGAAGACAAAGAATTTTTTTATCAAATAAATAAATCTACAGCTCATTCATGATGTTGTTATTGGATAAATTTTGGTTTAAATACAAAAAGGTATCCTTTTCAAGCAGATAAATATGAATTAATGTTTTTTAGCAGAATTAAAACATCGTTTTTGGCTGGGCCATACCCACCATTGAGGTCAGAATAGTAGATAGACAATTATCACTATTCATGAATTGTTCTTCATATGATAAGAAACTAATCCTTAAATAATGGAAAACTGTTTAGTCCAGTGGAATTTTTACATTGAAAAACTCATTTCAGAGTATGTTGGTTTATCTTAGTTAATTTAATAGATACTTAAACAATCTACTTACGCTAATAATGTTGACTTGAACAAGTCCTTCTCGTCTTTTCTTAAGGGCTGGTGGTGCAACTATTGCAATTGGAGTAGGGATATCTTCGATTCGTGTCTCTTCTAATAAGATTTCAGAAGAGTGATGCTCTTCCTCTTCTTTTTTGTTAGTCAGTTCTTCATCCTCAAAACCTTCTTCATATTCATCTTCATCCTAAACCCAAAGTTTATGAAGTTATAATAACTAGAATATCAACATTAACAAAGCTTTAATAAAACACTAAAAAGATTAATTTAGCAGTTAAGACATAAAAGGGAGAAAGTTGTAAGCACTAAATTGAAAGATTGCTTTAAGAAAGTTATCTGTCAATGAAGTAAAACATAATAAAAAAAAAAAAACTTATATAAAAACTAAATGATTAAGAAGTTAACATTAGAAAGGATTTACATTTAAATATTAATTATTCAGTTATCACTGAATTTAATGTAGAATAACACTTTTTACACCTGACTGAGAATTTTCACATTTGATATCTATCTCCAATTTGTTTGTTTTTTTTAATCATTTTTCGTTCATAGCTTTTTTTCCTCTTTAGCTTTAAAATGAAGAAGTAAATTATTTTTATAGATTTCTGTCATCATTAATATTTTTATAATTTTTAGTAATAAGTCTTTTTAATAATAAGTATTAATATTTCTGTAGGTTTTTAATAATTAATTTAAAGTTGATTTCTTTTTTACATCCTTTTTAATTATTTTTAAAAAATTAAACTATTTAATTGATTTTTTCTACTTATAGTTTTTGATTTACGGTTCCTAGAAATAAGGTTTTGTAATTTTTTTTTTTTTAATAACCAATATATGAAAATTTAATTGTTACCATCAAAACTTTATAACTTCAATTCAATGATAATCCTCTTCTCATTATTTCATGATATCATTGAAAAATGTCAACAATATAAGTATCTATTTTATTGTTTGATATTTACATCCCTACTCTTTCTAAAAATAAAAAGTATTGATATGGTGTATATCAATATACTTTTTTGATATTTACATCCCTGATTGATCAGCAATATATCAATTCATATCAGTCTGTTTTTAAAATAAAAAAAATTATGACTAATATGAGAACATAGAGTCAGAACTAGATAAAGTTTTATGAATTATATGAATTTATAGACCATAGATCAAATAGTTGGGACTGGAATCAAGGATAAAAGTATACAAAAAAAAAAATCCTCATCTTATTGTGGCGACATTTCAAGCTAAGTTTTAGGCCTCCATCAGGGCTGCTCGCCTAAGTTTAAAAACGGAAATATTATTTGAATGAATAAACAGAATTTTGTATAAATACATTAATTTGTTAGTCTTTATTTTATTATATTTTTTTCAAAGTTTTCATAAATTATTAGGCCAAAGGTCACCAAATGTACACAGTTTTTACATCCTGTATTATTTATTCGACGTTTCGGCTTCAGAAGCCATTTTCAAGATCCTGCAAACTAATTGTAATTTAGTTATTATATTTCAAAATATATCCTTATAAAACACATATTAATTTAACAACAATCAGTTATATAAATAGTCCAAATTCTATTTTATAAAAAAATTTTATAAATAAATAAAATAATGAAAAAAACTGGTGACCTTTGGCCTAATAATTTGTGAAAACTTTAAGAAAACGGCAACGAATCTAAAAGATATGACTAGAAAATTATATTTTTTTTCTTTCATTTTCTGTACAAAAGATAAAACTTGATTCCCCACAGGTGTTTGCTATAGAGAAATTTTACTGTACTTATCGTAACAAGAAATTGGGAAAAATATAAGATTTAAAAGGCAACAACAAAATAACCAATAGCAACTACCTTTACATCTTCTTCTTCCTCAGAAGATGATTCTTCCTCTTCAGTTGATTCATCAGAATCTGATTCTGATTCTGACATCTGTGGTGCTGTTTCTTCAGTCGGAATTAGCCATTGTGATTTACGAGTTTTGGTATGATAATAATAAATACGACCTTCTTTGTCTTTAGCAGATCTCCATTTGGGTGGCAGTCGAATACAGACATGCTGAGGAGGAGGTGGAGGTGGGGGAGGAGCAGTAGACAGAGGAACTGCAGGTGTAGGAGTAGGTAATGTAGGAACAGGTAATGCTGGGGTAGATAAAGCAGGAGCTGTAGTATAGACCTGAGGAGGATTGTAAGGAAATGGAGGATAGGATGGTACAGGAGCTCTGTAAGGAGGAGCTATAGGAGGATGAGGTGTAAATGGATGGTAGCCAGGTGGCTGAGGGGGTGGATATGGTCCTTCAAGAAATGGAGGAGGTGGCTGTGATTGTGCCATGAATGGGGGAGGAAATGATGGTGGACATCCACCAAATACTATGTCTCCACCATCTGAAATAGAAAAAAAAAATAAACATTTATAAATAATACCCAAGATATTACTCAACCAAATCTTGCAATATGGTACATCTGTGTGTAATTTAATTTGGTTTATTTGAAATAATTAATAATCCCTTGATAGTAGTACTAGAGATGGGCAGTACTCCATTACTTTCATGATTTGAGTACTTTTATTAGGAAAAAGTAACGAGTAATTTCTGTACTACCCAACCTCAGCAAGTGCTGAGAGTACTCACGCAGCATTAATCATACGTTACTTAAGTACTCGCTGTGTGTGTTATGTCCGATTTCGGAAAGTACTCATCCAAATTCCTTTAAGTACTTTTTATTTTTCATACTACATCATTATTACGAGTATAGATACTTTCTTTGAATTGCTTCAATAATGGCGTCCATATTGTGGTTATGTAAGACCCATTTAATCGATATTAGGGTCCACTATTTTGTTGTCGAAGGAGCTTTTAATAAAAATATTATCGGATTTTAGAATGCGCAAACTTGCATCAAGTTTTTGTAACTTCTCGGATTTAATTGATATTAAGATCCATTATTATGTTGCTGGGGGCACTTTTTATGAAAATAGTGTCAGAATTGAGATTCCGAAATTACACATCACGTTTTTGAAATCTTTAGGATTTAATCGATATTAGGGTACGCTATTATGGTGTCAGGGATGCTTTTTGTGACAACACTGTCGTATTTGAAAATGCACAACCTTGCATCAAGTATTAGTAACTTTTTGTATTTAATCGAAATTTGGAGCTACTTTCATAAAAGGAGGCACTTTTAATGAAAATATTATTGGATTTGAGAATGCGCAACCACACATCAAGTTTTTGTTACTCTTCAGATTTAATCAATATTAAGGTCCACTATTATGTTGTTGGGAGAAACTTTTTATGAAAATAGTGTCGGATTTGAGATTCCGAAAACGTTTTTGTAATCTTTAGGATTTAATCAATATTAGGGTCCACTATTATCTCCACATTGGGGGTGCTTTTTATGATAATACTATCTGATTTTAATATTGATTAAATCCGAAAAGTTATGCAGTTGCTCAGTCTCAAATCTGCTAGTATTTTCATAAAAAACATCCCCAACAACATGATACTAGATCCTAATAATGATTAAATCCGAAAAATTACAAAAAATTGATGCGCAATTGTGCATTCTCAAGTCCGATAATATTATCATTATAAGTGCCCCCGACAACATAATTGTGGACCCTAATATTGATTAAATCTTAAATTAATAAGTTACAAGAACTTGATGCAAGGTTGTGCATTTTTAAATCCAATATTTTTATTAATAGTGCCCCCTACAAAAATAATAGTGGACCCTGATATGGAATAAACCTGAAACATTTTAATAAGTCGATAATTTATTAATTTACATCAATATTGATAGTATTTTTAAAAACTATAACCACATAACATAAGAATGTACATAAATATTGAAGAAATTTTAAATATTCTACTTCTGTAATTTGTATAATGAACTACTCGATTTCTTTGAAAAGTACTCAAAGTAAAATAATTCTGAGTAAATCTGAAAATGGTAAGTACTCACGAGACCAGCTGAGTAGTTTTTATACTCATCGATAATCAAGTCGAGTAGTGATTAAAGTACTCGATACTTAGAGCGCGTGGGTATTTGAGTACAATACTTTTGTACTTTCTACAAATGTAATTTGTACTTTTTACTCAGAGTACGTTTACGTTGCCCATCTCAAGTAGTACCAACAAATACCTAAATATAAACTATGAAAGAATTCATAAAGTTGTTAGATAAAATATAATGAAGTTCTTATGGCATAAAAAAAAACATGAAATATGCTATAATTTAGTTAAAATATTAAATCAAACAAATGTGCCTACAAAATTTTCTGAACTAAAAAAGAAATCGCAGGAAGGATTAAAAATTAAATGAAAATTATTTCAAATATTAATTATGCTTTATTTGTTCATGAACCAAAATAATTAAACTAAAAAAATTAAGTAATACAAATTTGCAATTAGTGGTAATAGATAAACAGCAGTGGATAATTGTATGCTGATTCATGGCTTATATAACGATTTAGAGCAGGTGAATAACATAAAAAAAGAAAGTTAAATATTTCTCTAAAATCTCGGAATTTATACATAAAATTATGCTTGTTGCAATCTTCGAAAGGTTGAAGATAAGATAGTAAAACAATACATTATCTTGAAGGAAATTTAATGCTCAACAGCTTTCTTCCTCATGAATTTTTGTAGAATAAAGAGAAAAGAGTTGGCTAGAAACACATAAATTAAAAAATGAAGCAACATTTTTTTTTTTTTCAATATAAGCGAATACTGAGCATGGATATTTCGAGAACTATGTGAGATAGCAAACAAATTAATAGCATCAATCTTATTTCAAATTTTAACAGCCTTAATTTTATATAGTATGTCTTTATCGCAAGGATGCTTACTTTCCTTTATATAAGCGAGAAAAGAAAACATGAATAAGCCCACCTCTCCCTCACCTCCTAGGATTGGGGACTTTTATAACATTTACCTCCTAACTTGGCCAAACAAATTCCCTAAATAAAAAATTGTATCCTTCTATTTCCCTCTGTATTCCAGGACTTTTGAAAACTCATTGATTAAACAATATGATTTCCTAACCCGCAAACACTGCTTAAAATATTTCCAGCAACAAACACTTTTTAACACTTTTGAGCAACATTTTTCACAAGTATAATACTGCGCCATATATTCGGTTTAAAAATTTCTCTTAAATACAAGGAGCCTTTGTTCAACTGACTGAGCCAGTCCACACCCCTGAGCAATACATCACAAGACAATGGCAGATCTGAGTTTCATTTGGCCTTAGCTTAGTAGTTATAGTTAAAAGATTTCTGAAGAGATGTTATAGTAAAAAAAAAACTGCAGTTCACAAAAACTATTCTTATTCTTAAATCAACTGTTATTTCATTGTACACATTGCCCTATGAGTTGAGATATATAAATTTGTCCACCTTTTTAAAACAGTAAACTATAGGATCACTATAGAAATGTTTGGCACTCAGAATTGCAGCTTTGCTGGGATTACACACACATAGCATATAAGAATTTGCAGGTCGAGATTGCATATGAATAAGAAAAATACATGGATGGCCACAAATAAGATGGGACAAATTCCTAAACTTAGCACTAATATAAATATGTTAAGTAAATTGAGATATATAAAAACAATGAGATTACATCCAAGATAATTTTTAAGACCTTGGAATCTATCGACCCAAATACCAATGGAACCGCTGAGCCATAGGTAAAGGTGATTAATGGATAAATAAAGAAATGTGCTGAATTAAATTTATGATTTCCATCCAAAATTTGAGAAACAGGCTGATAGATTTCCTATCAGAATATCTTTTTTTTTTCCTGACCATCCGCTGGAATGCAACTTTCCTAAACTAGGCATACATTTCTGTTAATCGGTGCTAATTATAATTGATAGATGGATTACATAGTGGGAATCAGTACTGAGTTTAGGAACTTGTAGAGGGTAGAAGATGACGAGATGCAGACGGTATTGTTGGACAATTTGAATGACCCTGAAACAGGACCGAGAAGAGTTAAAATGACATCTCAGTGCAGCCAAGATCTATGTTGGTCATACTCTTGTATGACATGATAATAGAAATAAGTCATACAACTAACTATTCAAAAATTGGAAAATGTTAGGGTTATAGTAATACAAAAAAAAATATCATTAAATTTTTAGTCTTATTGATATTTATAACCTGGAGGAGGATGAAAAGATGGTTGTTGAAAGAAATTTTGATCCATTTGAGGAGCTGGTGGTACAAGCATTTGGGCTTGATGTTTTGCCCATGATTCCATTTTCCTTTGCCGCTCTTCTTCCTCTACCTTCATTGCAAATAATTGTCTTCTTTCAGTTTTTGAAAGACGATTAGTTGGGCCATTGTGCCTAAATGAGTGAAACAAACAGAATAAAGAATAAAACATTATTCAATCATAACATGACTCATATAACTTTAGTCAACATTATTTATTAGTTGTTATAAAATTTAAATTTGACTGGTGCAAAATAATTTTTAATAACAAAATTAACACAAATACATAGTATTATATAATTGTACCACACCAATTAACTTTAGCGATAGATAAATTTATTTTTTATACTTCAGGATTACAATTACTAATTAAGTACTCAATCACCCTTAGTACGAGCGAGCCTTGGGCATATTTAAAAAAAACACTTTTGATAAAACAATCGCTTCATAATGGTGATTAAGCTATCAAAATGCTTTCAAGAATTTCTTTCTTCTTGGATTGAGGAGGTAACAATTTTATTTTTTATTAAAAATTCCTATTTCATATATTATTACGAAATTGTTATATTTCTTATAACAATTGCAGCACTTCAATAGATATATCAAAAGCTAAGGTTAAATTATTATTATCCTGAGGGATGAGAAACTCTTCTTAACTTCAACCCACATCGATATTTATATCAGTTCATATTATATTTATTTAATAATTCATTTTATATTAACCTCTAAATATTACATGAAAAATTAATATCTTTGAGGTAGAAAAGAACCAAATGTATCTATTCCTTAAAATAATTAATCGTAAAATCAAGAAAATTATTACCTATCATCTCCAGGTCTATGTTTCCTCCATTCGGGCACACCAGAATCAGGAGGTGAGTCTCTACCTCGTTTCCTCTCACGGTTAAATCTTGCTTCCTTTTCAGTATCTCTGTTATATCTACTATTGCATTCCTTTTCACCTTCTCGATTATACCTATCTTTTTCATTTTCTCTATGGTGTCGTCCATCTTTTTCATAACTCCAATGCCTATAAGAATGTATACATAGACACAAACACACACATTATATATATATATAATGTATGTGTATATATATATATATATATATATATATATATATATATATATATATATATATATATATATATATATATATATATATATATATATATATTGGAGTTACATAGACACAAACACACACATTATATATATATATATATATATATATATATATATATATATATATATATAATATATATATATATACATACATATATATTTACATTTATTTAAATACACCCTCACATTTAAACTAATAATAAAAATGAGAATGACATTTGCAATGTTCAACTTCTAAAATTCTTGTCAAGCTGGTAAAATTACAGTAGTGAATTACAACGGGACAATAAATAATATAGAAATGGAAATAATTAATTAAAATAAAAAAAATTGTTGATACTAACATTTTAATTATATTTCAATATAAATAAAACTAAGGATAAATGTAAACCTGCCTGATAGACAACACTACCATGTAATAGCATATTTGTTGCTAAGAAAAACCGTATAAGTAAATATGAATAATGACAATATATTATGTTTAATGCATGGGTTTGAGTATTTACTTGAGATTAAAAGTTTTCCATTATTAAATTTATTTAATACTAGTTGGATTTAGGGATGTTTGAATTCTTCTACAAAATATTCTTCTTCCTTCAATCCTAAAAAAAATGATTTGTTGTAGTTTTTCTTTGAATTTCGAACAATTTTTTATTTAATTTTTTTTTTAACTTGATGAAGAAATAAAGGAAATGAAATCTAGCAACATGATTTTTAACATCAAAACAGTCTTCCAATATAACATAATCTAGAATCGCCGTAATACAAACAGCTTCACTGCTTCAATAGCGGTCAGAAAGCAGCAGTCTGGATATGATGTCATAACTATACTGCCAACCAATGCCAACAAAATACGTTCCTTTCTATTTCACTAAAGCAAGCAGTAGTTCAAGAAGCAGTATCTGCGGTAGGCAGTGCCAGCAAAATATTACCCATGGTATGCATGGATGATCCAGAGGGTATATGAACAAGCAAAAATAAGCCAGAGATATCAAAATATCAAAATGATTACCTATCATATGACAAGTTTTCTCGTGGGTCTACATATCCTCTGTTAGCTTCTCTTTCATGTTCTTTCATCTGTTCTATCCTTTCCTTTTTAGGAATCCTGAATTCTTCTTTGAGACCTGTCCAGGACGATAGAAGCTCTGTAGCTTTTGCAACAATATTTCTTTCTAACTCATCATCTTGTTCAAGAATAACTTTTTCATTTATTGTTCTATCCACAGAACATTCTCCAGGGCTAGAATCATCTGTCTCATTGCTGAAAGAAAAAAGATTTAGCAAAGAGTTAATGAAAATACAATGCTTTCCTATCTTTGGTAGTGAGGAAGCAAAAACTATTCTACCTAAATTACTCATATTACAAACTATATATTCCATTACTAATCCTTTGTATATCAATACTTTTAGTGCAAAATGTTGTATGTAAAAATTTTCCATTTTTATTCTATTTATTCTAAAGGTGACATTTTGTAGTCTGCAATTCTGCTATAAGTAGTCTGCTACTATGGAAAATAGCAGAGGGAAATAAAATATGAAATTATACCAATAAATCATAAAGAAATAATCAGTTTTTTGATGCACTCCTGTAGAACATTCAATTTTTACATACACCTTTGGCATAAACAGTAATGATATGATCAATGTAGATTATGTTACCTTGAAAACAATAGGTCCTGAGAATAATGTAAGACCTTTAAATGCTGATACACAAGAAAGAAATACTGAAAGATTTGAAAGGAAAATCTTTTCAGCATCAGCATGATAGATGGAGCAATGTGGGATCAGAGATACTAACACATGGATAAGGACCAATAAAAAATTGCTTACAGAAACTGGTCAATCATTATCTCATGAAACGAAGGCAAAGAGGGTAAGACCCCTCATGTTGATTGCACTTTCCAAACAATAAAAAAAATAAATAAAAAAATTCATGTCTAGCTTAAAAACTTGAAATACATTGCATCTGACAGCTGGAATCGGTTGTAGGGTTAAGCATACATCTGCCAAACAGGATACTGTTAACTCTCTCTCAACTTCTGGTTTATTCTAACTTTATATATTTCGATGTATGGAGATTGGAGAAAATGCACAAAGAATGATCTGAGTCTTTAATATGTCCAATATATAAAAAAAGGAATAGGACAGACTGCAGAAATTACAGGGTAATTTCCTTGGTAAATATTGTATACAAAATATTAGCAATCTCAATCAGCAGAAGACTAACAAAATGGGCAGAAGTGGTTCTGGATGATTACCAGTATGGGTTTAGACCGGGTAGGTGAACTACAGACCAGATTTTTTCGGTAAGACAAATGCTGGAAAAAGCCTAGGAGTACAATATTACATAACATCATTTGTTTGTGGACTTAAGACAAGCATATGATTCAGTAAAAAGGGAAAAAATGTAGGAGCGACTGGAAAGACTAGGAACTCCAAAGAAATTGATATGGCTGGTCAGGATGACACTGGTAAATACATCCAGTAGAATGCTTTTCAATGGGAGACTCACGAAAATTCAAATTTGTAAGAGGTATCAGACAGGGAGATCCATTATCTACAGTGCTTTTTAACCTAGTATTGGAAACAGCCATAAGAAAAATAAAAATAAAAATGAATAGCGGAGGTACAATTTATAATCGCATGACACAGCATTTAGCATATGCAGACGATGTTCTCATAACAACACGGACTGTACCACCACTTTCAGGCGCTCTTGAAGAATTCCTGAACTAGGTCTGGAAATTAATACAGACAAGGGCATGTACATGAGAACCTCAAGAAGAGACCAGTTGATGGGAGAGGAAATGAGAATAGAGAACTGGAGATTCAAGACCTGTTACGAATTTAAGTACCTTGATAGCACAATCATCTGCAAGAACCAAGTCGGAAAAAATATCAAAGCCCGTATAGCTGCAGGAAATCGATGTCTTTACAGTGCACAGAGGCTGCTTAATAGCAAAAATATGTCAAGAAGACCTCGCAACGATAATGTCATTGCTTGGGGATGACAAATGCCTAAGGCTGGTATTGCAATGACTTAATAAAGTCTGAACAGGAAGGCCAACTATGAGCAACGAGAATTATTAGCTTGAGATTGGAAAATAGTTTTAATTTATTTAAAGTTGCATTCCTGAGCAAAAACAAATTGTCTAGTCTGAAATTATTCATCTGAAAAGTAAAAGACAGATTTAGAGGGTAAAAAAAAAGTTAGCTTAGGAAGTATAAGTATGAACATAAATTATTATAATTTTTTTAAAACCAATTTATTGAATAATAATACAATCTGACACATTAAAGTGCAATAAATATCAGGGCTACAAGTATTTATACATACAATATAAATGAAAATTTGTAGCTCTCTCTGATATTTATTGCCCTTCAATGTGGCGGATTGTATTATTGCCCAATAAATAGGTTAAAAAAAAAAAATTATGTTCATACCTATACTTTTTCAACTCAACTTTTTTTATTTATTTAAATAAATAAATAAATTACCAGTAAAAAAAAAATATATTTGCTAACAAACCTTTCTTTATTGTCATTAGATTCTTCGCTTGAGACCTTAGCCCATTTTTCAACAACACTTAATATTTTACTATCCTTCAAAATTGTTTTATTTGTTATAGGCAGCACAGCTAATGTGTTGAGTATCTGTATTGTGCAATAATAACAAGAAAAATATAAATAAGTAATTATTGATAAAAAAACATCAATTTTATATCAGTGATACAATCACTAACCTCAAATCTAAGTTTTGCAGAAGAACGAGTATCTATCATCCATGACCAAAGAAGACCCAACCCATGATAATCTAAGAAGAGTCGTTTGCAACAAGGATCAGCTGCTTGAGCAATTTCCAGTAGTGGATAGCGAGACATTTCATCCTCAGCTCTCACCATCAGGCGGCTAAGGGTTAGGGTGTGCTTTTGATTTTTTACTCCACTAACAGATAACTTTTCTATTTCCTCTTCTAACTGGAAAAAAATATATTGGATTAAAAATAAACTGAAAGAAATAAATCAACATTTAGATTGCATAATTATAAACCATCACTGCCGGAATAAAGGACATGGTGGTGTGTGAGTGACAATTGATAGAAATATCATTAGAAAACTTCTTTAACATATAATACCAATTTTTTAATAATATTGATAATTACCACTATCCTATTTGAGCAATCACTGATTTTGGCTTTATGTGTCTTTATCTTTGAATAATGTTCAATAACACCGAAAAAGTTTATATGTCTGTATATGGGAGTGATTGAATAACTGTTTCAAGAAAAACTGTTGCAGTCTAAAAAGTAAATTTTCAACACAAAATGTATACTCATCATCAGCTCCTTCCTTTCACATCTCACACAGACAACAATTTTATCATTCTTACTTTGAAGTCTAATTGACATAGATTGATAGATGATTAGATAACGACACAATTTAATCAACTGTACAAGCCTCAGATTCCTGATCAATAGATTGAGCCAAAATTTTATTTCATCCATTTTTTTTGGGTTGAAATTTTAAGATCACTACATGCACTAGTGATATTTTAAATGGCATCCTTAATGAATAAATGAAAATATATTTTATTATTCTGGGACTGTTGTATCTTTAGAAGAAATTATAATTATAGACTGCATGTCTGTGTGGTCATAAATAAATTATATATTTACAATACGAGTTAATTAAACATAAGAATATAGAAAAAGAGAGAGAAAAAGACAAGAAAATTGTACATATATATAAGAAACTAAAATACCCTACATAAATTGAGGTAGTCGCTGGGGATACTTAGATAGTTCTTCAAGGTACATTTCGTAATCAGTACGATTGAGAAAGGAGTAGGTGTTTAAAGAGGAGAGGTTTGAAAGAGGAAACTGATTGTGAGTGTCAAATATCAGTAGGGATGGAATTCCAGAGGGAGGCGGCTTGAATTGCAAAGGATTTGTCAAACGCAGCAGTTTGGTGAGGATAGAGGTCGGAAGTACGAGATCTAATGGGACGGGATTGGATGGAGTATTTGAATTGTAAGCTGTGAAAAATATAGGATGGTCGTGAGTTCTAATGATCTCTGGTACAGAAAGGTGGCTAGGAAGTACTGACGGCGACAGGAAGGATAGAGCCACTTCAACTCGGTGTAATACTGGTATGTGTATTTCTTGAGGAGTGAGGGGGATCCGATCAAGATGGCTTATGTCTTCTTGGCGTTCAGAGTGAGCCCTATTGAGGTTTGCCCAAGCACTTATTCTATTAATATCTTCTTGGAGTTTTAGAATGGCATCTGAGAAATCGGTTGGATTAAAGGAGAGATAAATTTGAATGTCATCGGCATATAGATGGTATTGACAGTGCAGGATAGAGGATGGGAGGTCATTTATATAGATGGAGAAAAAGGTGGGGAATAAGGAAGAGCCTTGTGGGACACCTCTGGACAGAGGTAGAGATTCTGATGAGGGGTTATTAGGAATTAAAAAAAACATACTGGGAGCGATCGATAAGGAAGGATTGGAACTAATTAAGGGAACTAGAAGAAAAAGAGATATTTTTAAGTTTGGTTAGGAGGATGTTGTTGTCTACTGAATCAAAAGCTTTGGAGAAGTCAAGAAGAACAAGGATGGTACGTTAGTCGATGGATATGTGAAGGTCTTGGGAAATTTTGATTAGGACAGGCTGAGTAGAATAACCAGACCTGAAACCGGATTGATAGGGATTTAGGATATATTGTCCTCTAAAAAATGGGATAGTTGGGATTGGACTAGTCGCTCTAAAGGCTTTGAAAGGTTTGAAAGAAGGGAAATCGGTCGGAAATCATTAAGAGCTGATGAGTTTGAGGTCTTGTTCAAGGAGCGTACTAGGGAGGTTTTCCAGGATGTAGGGAAGTTACCATTTTGAAGAGAATAATTATATATACGATAAAGGATCGGAAGAATGGAGGGCAGTATTGCTTTAATCAGTCTGACTGGGATGTTGTCGGGACCCTAATCATTAGTATGTGACTTCTAAATGGAGTTAAGGTCATCTGGGGTAATAAGGGAAAAAAAGAAGTGATCAGAATTAAAAGAGGTAAACATAGGAGCCTGGACTGGACGTAGAAGATGTGATTGCAAGAGAGCAGGAGACAAAGTGAGTGTTGAGGTTATCGGTAGAGACGGAATTGGACTGGGACTGAGGTATATTACCAATGGTCAGTTTTCTAAGAATAGCCCACGTGGCCTTGGTATTAGGGGAGTTGGATAAGGAAAGATGGTAGTAACGGGAATTTGCACGGTGTACTGCTGACTGAATACTGTTTCTAAGCTGCTTGGAGGAGAGAACATCATCAGGAAGTTGAGTTTGTTTGAACCGTCGTCTAGTAGCATCTCTTTCTCTCATACACTTTCTCAAAGCAGGTGTAAGCCAAGGAGTGGGAGGATGTCGGATGGTTTTTGTGATAAGAGGAGCATGTCGGTCGAGGATAGAGTGAAGATGAGTGGTAAGGGTTTCTACCATGGTGTTCTGGATTTTGAGGAATAGATGGGATCCCATTGCATATCGTCAAGATCTTTTGACATTGTTTCGTGAGTGAGAGAATATAGGTTTCAGAAGGATATTGCAAGAGATCTGGATAAGATTGTGGGAAGATAGAAATGGGACCAGGTGCTGAGATGCGGCAAGTAGTTTGTCTGAGGAATCTAGGATAAACAGCCAGGACTCTGAGTACTGAGTATGATGGGTTGGATTGTAGGGTACTATGTAAAGGCTCTATTGAGAGAAACAATGAGTAAATAAAATTTCCAAGATTAATAGTTTACAACAGCATCGTGAGGTGAAAGTTAATTTTTAAAATGTTTTTTTGTGTTTCCAGTTTTCAATGATACCAAGGTCCATAGGTTGTATGAGTGAATTATTCATTGGAAAGTTATTTTTCAGTCATCACTTTTCATAACATAATTTAGACAAGTTGGTCTCCTGGTCATAAACAAAAAGGCTTTCGGTGGCAATTGTTTTTTGGTCAAATTTACTCCAACTCAAGGTACTGGTAGAGAAAACAATCACAAAAAATAGTTTGATCCATCCAATATTGTTTTGAGAGCAGGTAGACCACTTAAATTAAAGTTTTTGAATATATATATTTTTTAAATTTCTCAATCACTAAAAGAGGCAATCAATGTTTGATGATGCATTTATGCGAACTAGTCATGATCCAGAATCTTGCTTGAAAAAACCAGTGGTACATTAATTTTATCATTTTATTCTAGGTGTCCTAATGTTTCCACTTTTTGTTACATGCTGTTGGTTTTGTAAAGGATGAGTGACTTTATTTTATAATGGCTACAAATGTTGTACAGGCTGCATGTAAAACACTTACAATGATACGAAAACTGAATGATGAATTAAAATTATTTCTTCGATAACAAAATAAATTTAAAAATGGACATATAAATACTATCAACAGGCCACAATGGGACAGATTGAAATTCTTGAAAGACAAAAACAATCTTCTGAAATACCTATATTAGGTTCGAAAGATAGCCTTTGAATCTGCAAATAGACATATAAGACTACTAGAATTGTTATTATTAAGTTATAAAATAAGGGATTAGGCAATTTCTCCAACTTGAGCTAATCTTTTTGTGTATACAAGAATATGGTCTCGGTTTTAAATTTGTATTGAAGAGTAAAGGATCTTCAGAACTAATATGAATGGCTATTGGTAGTGAATGTGTAAGTGATAGTGAAAAGTGGTAGGCCATATCCAAAGAGTTTCTTTAATGGAATAGGTTTTTGAGTATAGTTCCAAAATATCATAAGCAGATTCTTGTGTTTTTAGCTCTAAGATATGTTTTTTATTCTTTTTCACTGATTCTGTATAACTAAGGCAGAAGAAAAAAAAAGCTTTTATCTCATTTCATTGAATAGTACAGGAAATTTATTATAGTAAATTAAAAAATAAGAAAGCATTAGTTACAATTATAGATGGGAATAATCATAATCAACGAATACAGTGATTTTTATTATGTGATTACTCAGTTACAATTGTAATCGGGCAATTTCACATTTTTTCTAAAAGTGTTAATGAATCAAGTACAGCGTTATTGAATATAATAGTGTTACATATATATATATATGTATATATATATAAATATAATATATTGTATATATTATATACAATATATATATATAATGTATTACACTTACAATATATATTGTAATATATTATATAATAGTGTTATTGAATCAAGTATAAAATTGGCTTTGTTATTAAGTTTCATTTTCAGTTGTGATCATTGATTCTGATTTTGCACATCTATGGTTATAGTGTAGATGTCCTACTTAATTATACAAAATCATAAAAAACTAAAATTTTTGGCTAAAATGAGATTATTGATGGAATTAAAATATCGTCATGGACAAATTGAGTACAAATAAAATTGGAAAATGTCTAAGTGAAGTTAAAATTCTTTTAATTAAAAAAAAAAAAAAAAAAAAAAAATACTTAAACCATATAAGAGGGTAAAAGCACCAATAACCTCATTTTTGCCAAAAATGTAAGTTGCAATATTGTCAAACCATTTAATTTTATAATTATAATAATAATTTTATTTTATGCAAAATAAATGTATAGTATTTTTTATAATTAAACAGGGTATCTCAAAGATATACTTTAACTAATGATTTAGCAAATATTTTCTTCAATGAAATGAGATTTATTTTTATTATAATTTAATTATTTTTAAACATCCTCTACATTTAATTGCAAACTGATTTTTTTTTTTTGTTTAATGATAGATTATGTGAGCTCAGATAATTGTACACTTATTCATGTTTTATAATAATTTTGTTCAACCTTTTTCTGCATTGTATACAGAGAAAAAAAAAAAGAACAAAACATTTTTTTGTGCTAAAGCTATCTCCTTAAGCCAATAACAAGTTTTTAAAAAGAATTTTAAAGCTATAAATCATGTTTATGCAACTTTTGGGAATTTGGTCCATTT